TGCCCTCCTGCACGGTTGCTCAATGTAAAGTCATTGTTGTCTCTCACACACAACATAGTTATGTTTAAGACGCGTGACTTGGCTTTGCTTTGCCAAGAAATCAAAGCAAACAAAGTTTGATTTTATTTAACAAAGCATCCTTTTTTTTAAGGCAAGATCTCACTCTGTAGTGTTGGACTTGAACTTGTGATCTTCCTGCCTTAGCCTCCCTGGTGCTGGTATTACAGGCATGCACCCCCATACCTGGCTTCACAGGCATTAAATCACTCGATAGTGTTGCTTCTTGTGAGAGCTGGGTTGTAAGAGATAAATTTAAATCTGTGTAGGGAAATATAAAAAAAGTCTGCATGAAAATCTTTAGAATATATATATCCCATAGGAAGTGTCCGCATCTCTGGCATTGGCCATTCGTATCTTTACTTCCATTGCACTTTGAAGGCACTAGATTGTAGTGGTAAGACCCTGCTGGGAGAGCCGTTGGTACTGTTACTTAGGTGGCTGCCTGACCTTTCTGGACCCGCCCTAGCCTGCCAGACTCTGGACAGGGCCTTTGCAACTGAAGGCTGCCTGCTTCTGAGTGGTTGAGAGACAGAAGAGAAGCCTGTAGAGGCTCTAGAAATGCCTGTTGTGCTTCCTGCAGTGCTTGCATCAACCCTAAGAACATGTTTACCAAATTATGCTCTTGAAAAACACTCTTCGTTATGTCTTTTTCAGGACATCAGAATTTCAGTTATGTAGTCAAGCAAGTGATCACAGGTCTAAGCCTCATAAACACAGATATGTTGTGCCTTTATGTTTCGGCTTCATGCATTTATTAATTACTCTTTCTGAATTTTACTGAAAACGCACTAAAAACCCTTGATTCCTGTGTCATGGGTAATCTTGCTCCTCCTACTCCACTGCTAAAGGGCTCCGTTCTTTCAAGAACAGGTAGCATTGTAACCAGGAGCCACAGTTGGACTGTCGATGTTAATAACCGGCCTCCTTCCTTTGACCAGCCGTACACTCTGGCTAACTTACCTGATAGCTGGAGCTCCAGCTTCTTTGTGTGTCAAATGGGACTGTCGTTCTGCCTCATAGGGTGCTTGTGGGGATTCAAGGAGAAGTTCCTCTAAGGCATAAGTCACAGGGTCTAGAATGGAATATGTATTTGCTTTTATTATTTTTCCTCAGAGGCCATGCTAGTGACACATATTTATGTTCTATTTTATCCCCTTGGTTTTATTCAAATTCTTGCTGAAAGAAGGTGGTTATAAATAGTAAATAATTATGATTTGTTATTTTCTTATTTCCAAAAATATTAGTCACTGTTGATTTATGATGGCTCACACAGAATTTAGTCAGACATTAAATTTCTTCTGCAGTGACATTTTCTCTGAAAGAACATGGCAGTATATGAGGAAGGCAAATAATGATTTTTCTCTGCTGATAATCGTACTCACTTTTCAGTGTTTTTAGATATATTCTGTTTACTTAATCTTGAAGAAGAGAGAAGCATTAGAAAATATTGCTACCGTAGATTTTCCATTCCTATATGTTTAACATTATAAATATTAAAAAAAAAAATAGAGAGACAGTATTACATGGCATGATTTAGGACAGAGAAGAACTGTGAAGTTAATTAGATGAGTCCCACATCTAGTGGTGAGGCACCACTGATTAAAATGTCTCTTTGGAGAATTTTGTACATTTCCCTTCCATAAAGTAAATGACATTCATTGCACGTGTGAATCTTGGGAAGGATTTAAAGCTCTCTCGTTATTTGAATGTTCTTCTCCTAAAAGATTGAATTTATTTAGTCTTATCACTGGCTAGAGGCCATAGATACCCTGGTGTGAGCCTTTCCCCTAGCTGGTCACAGTGTAATAGGAAAGAAACAGGCAGACGTCCTGTGACTAGGAAGTAGGTATAGATGATGTATTGAAGGTATATGCATCTTGTAGTAGGACATGTTTTAATTTTATGAAAATTAGTTTTGCTTCCTGGTCACGTGTAGTAGGGTTGCGATAGAAACAAACTTCAGATAGAACATCAAAAATACATTTGTGTCTGGCCACAAAACTTGACATGAGGTAGTCTGGAGAATGGTAGAGGATGTGCTGGGATGAAGTATCGTTAACTTGTTTAGGCATCGCTTCTGCTGTTCTCTGAACTTGTGAGTGTGGGTGGGTAATTATAATCCAAAGATTCTGAAATATATTCCCATAGGCCTTTTTTCCCTCTAAAACCATTTGCTGATGGAGTAGTTGCCACACCAGTAAAGCCGAAGAGAAGCTGATTGTGTTCGTAGAACAACTGTGTATCACCAAAAGAGGAAAAACGTCTTTTAGTTGGTCACAGAGATTTTTCTTATTTCCCGTTTTAAAACCACTACGAGTTCTAATAAACTGCATTTGACTTATTTCTCCAGAGTATTATCTTCCGTCTATTTCCGTCTCTCCCTCGAGGCATCCTTAAGCTAAGCGATACGTCATGGGTTTGGTACATATTGATATTCTTTCTCGAATAGGATATGATATACTATAATATGTGCATAATCAGGATTCTGTCTAGACTAGTGAAATTAAAATAGTGACAGCAAAAAGGATCTTTCTCTGAAAATAGAATATTTTAGAAAACAGGATTTTTTTAAAGCAGAACATTGATGAAACTCACAGATAAGGAATAGTATTTTGTAACAACAGTTGATGTTGTAATATCTCAAATGTTGGTCGATTTTTCTATATTAATCTTATTGGTATTTGTCATCTTAAACTGATCTGTCAGAAGATAGTATGGATGTCTAGAATGTTTCAGTATGCAAAGAAGACCTCACACAGATACAAATCTCAAAATATACAGCGTGGATTCTACTACCAGTGATACACGTGATGGGAAGTTGCTCATATTGCTTACATTTTGTGCTAAAATGTAATTAATAAACATGTTAGCTAGGGACTGGCAGTGAAGAAATGCAACAAACAGCAGTCTGAAACCTTAGTAGTTTTGACCAAGTAAAAGCAAGTTCCTAAATCTTCTTGAAGTTTGCCTTTGTTCAGTAGACTAATTTATTTCTTAACTTATTTTTTAATTGACAAAGCTACCAAAGGACAGTTTCAATCAAGGGCTGCCTTGAAGCATTTTAAGTCAGAAGTCACATGTCTTTCTCCTAAGAAGAGCAACATTTACCCTGAAATCTTAGGACTTGGCTTGATAAGGTCATGTGGGTGTCCCAAGTACATGAATGCCTTTGTCTTTATCTCAGCATTCTGGAAATGTTTGCTCAATATTTGTATACAGCAGAGAAATAGTTTTCCTATAAAACTGAAGTGAAATGTGAGGGTTTTCAGTTGATAATTGGGATAGAATCCTTACTTAGTAAAATACCAGCTCCATGATCTTGAGCAAAACTATTTTTATCTTAGTTTTTCCATCTATAAAATGGGGTATGTATCATAATAATACCTACTTCCTGAGAGCATAGTGAGTACAAAAGGAGTTAATCCATGTAAAGTCCTTAGCAGAATGCTTGTCAAATGATGGGTTCTCAAAAATATTACCTGATGATATGACTATTTCAAATGTAATTATTTTGTCCCACAATGAATTTTTGTTTATGTTTTTATCATACCCTAAATTTAAAACAATACTGAATTTTCTTCAACTATAATGACAGCCTGCCATCTTTTTTGTTTAATTATAGTAAATGACAATTGGATGAGACTAATTAGCTCTGCTTCCTTGTTTGTACATCATTGCCAGCTCTGTTTCAGAATAACACCTTGTGGGAATTGAGCTTCAGTTGAGGATTCTTGCAGCAATTTATGTTTTCATCATTCATGCCTTATCAGCCACCTGTTTTGTAGAAAAGCCTGAGTAATAGGAATGAAAACGGCTCCCTAGAAATGTGGATTGGGTACCCTTCCTCACAGGGGAAGTCAGAAATAGGCATAATACAAGAACAAGATGAAGTTAGCCCGTTGAATCTGTTAAATATATCTGTCCAGATTTAGATCACAAAAGAAAACCAAAATGTTCCAAAACAGCCATACATTCGAATGCATATGCTTCCTTAGAGATCTGCTTATGGTTCTCATTTTTCTCCTTCTGTGTATTTAGATAAAGAGCCATTGTTTCAAGCAAAGCTCTAGTGATGAATAACACAGAAACTGGGTAGGTTCAAGGCTTTTTCTAAGACCCCACACTCTCTGTCCCTCCGTGTCTGCAGGCAGAAGCAGCATTGAGCAAGGACACGCCATGTGATAATCTCACATTCAGTGGAGATTCGTTCTGTGTTCTCTGCCTGTGGCAGTCAGCTGTTTGATTTTATCATAGGCACCAGGATATTGAAATTTCATTAGGATTCAAAGCTCACGGTGGCTTTTTTCTTGGATTTGTAATCATTTCATTTTTTAACATACATGTGATATTATCTTGACTCTCAGTGGTGTTCATAACTATTTATTGCCTTGAATTACTGGCTGATCAACAGCATCATTTGTGTTTACATTAAATGTAGGTAGCACTGTATTTTCAAATGCATGTTCAGTGAGATCTGTTCATGTATAGACTAAAGAAAATGCAAATTTTACTTCTTAGAACTTCTGTTTGCATTTTGGATTATAGAAGTCCATAAAATATAAAGCTATTTGCTCTTAATTTTCATTAAATAATATAAAACTTGAAAAAAACTCAGGTATATGCACAGAAATTAGGCTGTATTTTCTCATTTTGTGCATTGGTTTCCCCTTTTGAAATAATATCAGTGTTATTAATGGCATGGAAACCTACCCTGTTGTTTTAAAAGTTAATTACTTTGCAGATGCACTTATGTTTTGCTCCAACAGTTTTATCAGAAGTGAAGCAAATGTTTGCTATAAGCAGTACTCCCCTAACTTATATAAGCACTTTTGTGAGTGGTCTAATAAATGTTGAGCTTAACTCTTCGGAGAAAGAGCAGTTATCAAAAGGATAAATATTAAATCATTTTTAAGTGTGAAACTTCTTTCCCCCTCTTATAGTGAGAGATTTTTCTTGAGACTGAACAGAAATGGGCTTCCCAAAGCCCCAGAGAAACCAGAACGACACTGCTCTCTCTTCATGGTAAGTGGATCATGTTTCATCCATGGGGCACATCCCTCCAATTATACAGTGACTCCTCTGGTGACCCACCTGGCCCACAGCTGTTCAGACTTAGGAGCATGAGCTGCAGTGTGGTCTTATGGTGGTTTCTATAGTACAGTGCTGTAATTTTTGCTGATTGTACAGTATAGTACAGAAGTATAGTTTTATGTTCTGTTATACATGATGGTACTGTATGTAAGAGTTTTGCACATAAGCACAAAGTCATCAAGTTAGAGTTTGCTTTGACCATTTCTTTGTTCTGAATATTGCAATATACATATGCTATACAATTCCTCATTGAGCGACCAATTAAGGTAATCACCTCATTCCAGGAACAGAACTTGGTCATTATATGAGGACTTCATATTACTTAGGAGAAATTGTTGTGAGAGAAAATAGTGAATTTGCTTAACCTTTGTAAATAGCACCCAAATTACATCTATAGCCAAAGTATTCAGAGTTACTTTGCTTCCTTTAGCATATTATTTTAATACTGTTTGATACTTCTGTCAGTCTAGTGTTGACCCTGTTGTACTATTACCAAAGTACAGTAGAGATGGATCTTAGCATGGGGCCTTATATTTAGTATGTATTTCCAAAGTGTTTAAAGAATGCATAATTGAGAATTGAATCATCCATAGTCTTTCCTTTGAAGTATTTCTTGACAATAATTGACTTAAAGTTGATATTTTGAAAGTAGGATTTGTATCATGTGCTTCTGCTATAAGCATTGTATTAAGAATGTCCATGTTCATCTTTGTCTTCTATTATATGTGAAAATAATGTAATATGCTGTTTAATTGCTGCTGTATAGATTGTGACTCCTACACTAACCAGGCTTTGTTTTTTGATAGGATTTGGGTAGCAGCGAGTTAAGAAAGGACATCTACATTACTGTGCACATTATCCGAATTGGTAGGTATAGCACTGGTCCCTGCGTTAGGACAAGTAGCTGGGAAGTCTCTCTGTGGGCGTTTCTGTTTGGGTTTTGGGGTTTTGAATTTTGGTTTTGGCTGTCTGCAGCTAAATTTGAATCCAAGAAGCGCAGAAGTTGTTCATTGTTCTCTGGCCCTCACAGCCTCACATACAACTTCTTCACCCACCATAAATGGGTTTTTGTCTCTTTCAGTATGTCATTAAGTACTTGATTGTGTTTCATTTTGTTTCATTGGACCTCCTAAATCTCTCTGATCCAAACATCTTGTATTTGTATTTTTAAGTTCCAATTTCTCGTAGCATAAAATAAACTTTTAGGAAAAGCGTTCCATGCAAATTTATGAAAGCTTTACACCAACCAGCGTTTTCTAAGTGCACAATGCCGCAGAAGATTGCTACCCAAGGTGCCATAAGAGAAGAGCTCTGAGGCACCGAGTACTATGTGTTTTTTCTGTATAATGTCATCAGCTTATTAAAGGCTCTGAGAAGTCCTACAAGGAAAAATAAATATGCATCTCTAACTTTTTTGATCCCAGCTTTCCTGACGTTTGATTTAACTATGAAACATTTAGATACTGTAGCATTTGTTAATATTTTGCAGGAAACTCTGGTGTTCTCCATATTCAGTGGAGCCAGAATATGTTCACTCATTTTCCACATGAAATGCCTCTGAAAGCAAGTGTTGTACAGCAGAGTAGCAAGGTGAAAAGAGGACTAGTGTAGCCAACACAATTTTTTCCAGTAAGGCTATCCAGTCACTCTTGGGAATTTATTCCACTTCTTCACTAACTGTGCTGCATTACCTGCATAGGAATATTTCTGCAAGAGAGTTAATAGTTCGCTATGCAGTTCTGCAATGTGATCTTTGTTTTTATAGGCTTTTATTTTATACATACAGTAACCACATGGTACATAGAGAAGATTATGAAATATGTGGTCAATCCAACGTAGATAATTCTATCTGATTTTCTCATGGAAATATGTTCTGAAAACCTGTTTTCATTTAACGTTAAGTTTATATTTGAAGGCTAGGAGAAGTAAGTTTTAAAAAATAAACTCTTTGTTTTTAATTTTCATAAATTAGCATGTGGGAAAAATGAAAAAATTTAAAATCTTGGGAAAGAGTCTGGGTTTTCATGTACTTTTGTGCTAAAACTTGTATCTGTTCTAAGGACGGTAGGGGTACAGTATGTTGTGTGATTTTCTTTGTTTTTTAATTCAAATTTGTTATGCAAATTGGTAATATAAGATGTGGTTTTGTATATCTTCATGAAAACATTGCTAAAATATGAAAATAATCTACATTACTGGGGAAAAATGTAAACCACTTTTGCTTCTGGAACTTTCTAGACAATATCTATAGGTTTGCATGATGACAAAACATGCAGAAGAGTATGTGCCCTTCCAGCCCCAACCTTTACTCATAGCACTGTGGCCCAGGAATCCACCTTAGTACTGTGACCTATCCCAGAGCTAATGTATGGTATTTCATTAATGATATTTCTTACTAAGGTTTTTAATGGTCATTAAGTTGTCAGAAAGAATATCGAACCATAAAATTACCTACCACCCCTAGATTTGGTTAAGTGAATACTTCCCTAGGATTGCTACAGAAAACTTACAAGACTTACTTACTGACTTGATATTTTCAGACTGAGGCAAAGTGATATTAAGGTAAAACACTCTAAAAAAAAAAAGGTTAAGACCTAATTTGCCAGTTCCTTTGAAGCAGTGAAATTAAGGAGTGGAAGACTGTTATCTATCAGGGACAGGAACTTCTTATTTTTTTATAGAATGTCCCTGTACCTGCTTTACTGGGAAAAGGGCACAGTGACCCTCACTGGCTGCTGGAAGTAGGAGCAATAATACATCAGTTCTGGGAATTTATGCCCAGATTTGGAGAAAAGGGGAGAAACAAGGAGAAATTAATAGTTCTGTATTCCTCTGTACATCTGAGTTACTGAATTCTTTCGGTGTGTCTGCCTCCCCTTTTGGCTCCTGGCTGGTTGCTCCATAGTTTATTTTTCCCCACTCCTCCCACGTTCCATCCTGCTTAGAGAATTTTCCTAGAAATTGGACCAGTACTATGCATTCTTATTAGTCCTAGGGTTGAGCACACCAAGGCTGGCCTCGGGTCATCCTTTTTGTATAGTAATTAAAACCAAAGCCTTGGTATCCAAGGTGCCCACAGAGCCAGGAAAGAAAACGTACAGCCACATGTGACAGTGCTTGGAGGGACAGAGCTAGCTGGAGAGCCTGCTCGTGTGGTTCTCAGAGCAGCACTCTTCCTAATCTCTTTATCATCTTGGATCTATAAAGGAATGAGTTAAAAATTTGTTACTTTAAATCACTAGATTGATGAAAATTGTAGTATGTATTTCACCCTAATGCAATCTGTAGTCATTCAAAATAGAGATAAATAGGATTTTTTTTTAATTCAATGAATGGCCAGTATTTTAAATTCATTTAAGTCAGTTCTATAACTAAAAGTATGGTTGGTTGATAGTTAAATTTAAATATGACATTTCAAGGTGTTTGCTTTGCAGGCAGAACTTATATTAAAATTACATAGATTGAAATTTAGCCACAGAAAACAGCCACAGGTCATAGGAATGTGATGTTTAAAGTTCATACATTCCCGACATCTAAAAAGCAACTGTCTTTATTTTGTCCATTTTTTAGTTTTTGATTCTGTTCATTAACTAGCAAGTTTTGGGCTGCTATTTATAAATATTTCACTAAAGATGATATGTTACAGAGGTGGTTTTCCTTTATCAGTGGTGAAGGGAAAACCAAATTGGATATTGCCATCCTTCTGTTTTTTTATTATTCTATTCAGCATTGGATTTTGGCAACACAGGAGATATCTTGATGTGCTTTAGAATTTTGCTCAGAAGGAAACAATTTGTGAATCTGTTGACAAGCATCTGGAGACAAATTTGCAGATATTTTCCCCACGTTAACGTGCTATATTTCAACTTTGGCATACTTACTGGTGCTGGTTTTCAAAATAATCCACTGATAACTAATTGGCCAACAGCAAATTAAAATAATATATCAAAGCATGGTTTAAAATATATGATAGCTAGGAACAAGTTTAAGCTTTCTAACAATCAAAATGATCCCCAGAGACAGGAGAGATCCACCGAGTTATGAATTTCCTGTTCTGTAAGGCAGGAGCCTGCTCCTTTCACCAACTGTGCTTACCTGGTGTATTTGAAGAATCTCCAGTTCTTTCCTTTTAAAAGTGAAATTTTTGAAATAACTTTCAAATATGGAATTTATTTTTAAGAAGAAAATGAAATAGGCACCATCACTGCCTTCAATAATGTGACCTCCTGGTCTGCCTCCATGGGAGTATGAAGGTGGTTCCCAAGCATGGGATCTTTGCAGTCTTTGTATTCCAGAGAGGACACTGTTACCGAGAATAGAAGGTGCTTGTTGCAGGTCGTACAGCTCTATGATCAGAAATCAGAGCCCAGGACGGAAACACTGTCTTCTGTTACCCTGCACCTATGTCCTTCTCCTGACTCCTTTACATTTTGTAGGGCTTGTCTTGTTGCTCTGTGTGGCTCTATTTAAGATGAATCTAATCAGATGTCTCCGTGGGTTGTGTTTACTGTTTAATTGGACAGGTCGAATGGGAGCAGGAGAAAAAAAGAATGCCTGCAGTGTGCAGTACCGGCGGCCCTTTGGCTGCGCAGTTCTCAGCATTGCTGATCTGCTAACAGGAGAGACGAAGGACGACCTCGTCCTCAAAGTGTACATGTAAGACGCGTGCACAGGGAGGGAGCGGCTGGGCACAGGGGGTGTGTTGCTCCTACCTGGGCAGACACTGCTCAGTGCGGGTCACTGAGGGACAGTGGGTGGATGGGTTAGGTTTATGAAACATTTTTCGGCCCTGTAATCTGTTGACCTTCTACAAATGAGCCTGCCAAGGAACATGAAATCAAGAGCCAGTGAATACATACAGTTTATCAATTAGACAATCTACCATCTAGAATGCTGCTGATGAATTTATCAACCTAGCATTTATTCGCCTTCAGACGGTTTGTTCTTGGAAGGAGGAAATAGTGTAATTTTAATATAAATTAATTAGAGTCAGGAAAGGGAAGCTCAAGTGATTATGTTCTTATGCCACATATTGGTTAGCTGGATCTACCATAACAAAGTACCACAAACAGCATGACAATTCAGTGACCATTTATTGCGGGTTCTGGAGGCCGGTAGTCTGAGGTCAGGGTGTGGTAGGGTTGGTTCTTTGTGTAGCTGTGAGGAACAATCAGCTTTGTTCATCTCCCCTGGCATTTGATGTTCTGCTGATGGTCTTTGACATTCTGAGGTGTATAGATGCGTCTCTGTGATGTGTGCCTCTGTCTTTACATGGCGTTCTCCATGTGTACATGGCCATCTCTGTCCAGATTTCAGCTTTGTTAAGGATACAGTCACATAAGATTGGGCTTTCTTCAGTGATCTCGTTATGACACATGCTTCTGTAAGAACCCTTTTTCTAAATAAGGTCATATTACAGGATATCGGTTATTAGGACTTCAGCATTATCTTTTGGGAGAATGCAGTTTAACCCATGATACTTTATTAAGAACATCCATGATATGGCTAAAATTCTAAGTTAAATGATGTTTTAAATGCATACGGCTTTGTATCAACCTATTCTGACCACCTTGCTAAGAGGTGGGAACCACTATAGCAGGTGCATTCCTGGCCCAGGGACTGTGTTTCTGGTCACCTCCATGAGCAAATTGCTTTTGTCTTTTTTTTTTTTTTCCAGAGCTTGTCCTGATACCTGCAACACATGCCAATATTTCTTTTTCATATGTAGGGCTAACTCCACTGACTGTGGGACATATACTTCAGAGTGCTTTTTGACCGCTGTCACACCGTTCATGGATTTATCTCCTCTCCACCCAGTGGAACTGCTCAACACATTTAGTAATTAGCTAACAAAGATTTATCCATGCACTGTGGTTGAGGACTAGGAACTCACTTTATCCGTAATAAACAGGGTAAAACCTTGACCTGGATTTCAAACTTAAAAAGTTCTTGAAGCTAATGGATAACAGAACTTGTCATACTTCTGTATTACATGGCAGCGCCTCATTTGTCGTGACCGGCCTTACATCCATAGTGACCTTCTTCGTAGTAGCCGTAAACATCATCTATTTACTGCGTGCTTACTCTGTGCATGTCTTTTTTCCTCACAACAAACCTAAAGAGCAGCTGCTGTGAGCTCACCTTTGTACATTCGAGGATAGAAAGTTACATAACTTGCCCAAAGTTACCCAGCTAATGAGAAAGGGAATCAGATTTGCAGTCAAGATGATCCAACTCCAGGGCCTGAGCCCTCTCTTGTCAGGCTGCATCTTCACAGATACCATTTCACATCACTGCCTAGCAATGTCATGATGATGTTTTATAGCACTGCTTATTAAGAAGACTAAAATTTTCTGCAAATACAATCACATCATGTCTTAGAATAGTCTTTCCAGGTGTGGGCAGTGAGTGCCACATTTGTCTTGCCACTGGGAAACCTGAAGGACTGACAGGTACATGTGTCACCCTGAATTATGCAGCTGAAAGACCATGAATTCCAGCTCTGCCTCTGGAAGGCACTCATTCTCATAAAAATAGTCATGTTGCTCTTTGTGGTGTTTTATCATCTGCTTTTTCTTAAGCATTGAATATGGTTTCAGATAATTCTCCCTAGAAGAGAAAATCCTTAAACATGCCAATTCAGCAAATGACTTTGAAGTCATTTCAGAATAGTGGTCAAAGTACTCACTGTACCTGGGAAGAAACTGAGTTTAGTAGAACACTGTAGAAGGGTGTCTGTTAGAAACAGTTTGGAAGAAATTTCTATTTATTAGAATGACCAAATCCCTAGCCCATCTGGGACTTACAGAATAGTAACAAATACCCGATCCGAAACTGGAAGGTATTTCAATTGCCCACTTTAAGAGCTTTAATTGTATTTGGAGTTTTAAATTAAAGGCCTAATCTCTGAAGTCACTTAACTAAGAGGAAGCAGACTACTTTTCTCCCTTCCCTACTGGGGTGAACTAAGAAGGCTGGAGTTCTAATGTTGTAGATGGCAGTTTGATGTCTGAAAACAAGAGGCGGGATTGTTTCTTCCATCTTAATTTCCTACACTCGCAAGATTTGGGGACAGTGGATCCCATTGTTCTGGGTCCGTTTTTAATCTGAGTCGTTCTTCCCGGCTGCTCTCTTGTAAGGTAGGTGAGAGGCGTTATCAGGGTGTGCATTTCTGCTCATCGTGGAGCAGTCATGCTGAACTGACAGTCACATGCGGTGGGTTCTAGGGGATTCTAAGGAGATTTAGGGAAGAGCATTATAGTGTTATAACAAAAAGAGCAAACGTGCTTTTGGGTCCTTGCTTGATGTTGTGCATCACTGAAGCTTAACCAAGTGGTAATATTTTCATAGGTGTAACACAGAGAGTGAGTGGTACCAAATCCATGAGAACATCATCAAAAAGCTGAATGCACGCTATAATTTGACCGGCTCCAATGCAGGTGAGTATATGGGGCTGGCTTTATCTCCCTACACTTCTATTTCAGGCCAGAGAAAGATACGTGAGCGAAGAAAATGAGGAGCCTTTTTTTTTTTTCTCTCTCTCTCTCGTCGCTGCCTAACTTTAAAAATGGTCAGTGAACATTGCAGTATGTCTGTGTGTGCTGTGACCTAGTTTCATACAATTCTCCATGACAAAATGTATTCCATTCTGGTTTGAAACAAAGCAGAGGACCAGAATTTGTTCAGTGGTACCCTTACCAAACGCAAAAAGTTAAATGACAAGATGTGCTTGCGTTTTGTGATTTTTAGGTTGGAATAGGTTTGATAAATGGGAACGTGTCAGTAGAGACCACTAAAAGCATGCTTCACTCTCTACAGTTTGCCCCAAGTAGGAACATTACTGGGTAACAAACATACACGTTCACATATTGAAGTCAACTAAGGAGAGAGTGACACTGACTGGAGGTTATATGGAGAAAACACATGCACACTTGTTAAGGAACTGAAAGATACTGTAAGTTATATGCAATATACCGTACCTGTTATTTTAGAGCAGTAACGTATCATAAACTATATCACATTATATAGCCTGTATAGGTTATCTAGCATTTGTAGTTGTGTCTTTTAAGTTTGATTAATAGCAAAACCTTGGTAAATATTATTTGTATCCTGTCCCCTTCAAACTGACATTGAAGTAAAATTATATCTTGGAGCAGCCATGCTAAACTGATAGTCATATGCAGTAGGTTCTACAGGGTTCTAAGGAGAATCCTTTAATTGACCTAATGAAACTTCAAATTAAATGAGCTGTTCCTTGAACTGCATGCATTGTGTTTATATATTTTATTCATTTATTTATTATTTATTTATTTTTAAAAACACCTTGAAAATATATGTATTTGGGTTAAGTCCAACTTGCCTGGCAATTAGAAGAATCAGATTTAAGCTCAGATGACTTTTTTTTATCAGCTTCATGTACATCTTGCTAGCCTAAAATGGTCCGTAGGAAACAACTGCGGACAGCAGCTCTGTGTGGTTCAGTTCAGTGACAGCCGGAAGTCCCGCAGCTCACACGTAGCAGGCCTTCTAGCAGAAGTGAGTGGTGAGCTCATTTCTCTCCTCCTCCTCTCAAGAGTTGGGGAAGTGACTTGGGTTGGTTTGATGCAGATGAATTTTATTTGCTTTGGGCAGAATCCTACATCGACCACTAAATGAACAAGAGACTTGGAACACTCACTATTGAGGGCAGAGTCCTTACGAGAGTAAAAGGAGCTAATGGGAGAGGAATACATGAAGTAATAAGTAGACTTATAGAAACTGCAATGTGTGCCTTTTTGTGTGTGTGTGTGTGTGGTACCGGGGATCGAACTCCCGACCTTGTGCTTGCCAGGCAGGCGCTTATGCCACTGAGCTATATCCCCAGCCCCTGTGTGCCTACTTGAATTATAATAATTCTGATTGTGTGTAGACCAAGTGGTTTTATTTCAGTGCATTCTCAGTAAGATGGCAGAGCTACTACTACTGGTTTGTTTGTTTGTTTTAAACTTAGTAGCTAAATTCATTGCCTTCCAGCCAAATCAGTAGTTCTGTTCTGAACCTTTGGTGTTTCTTGATCCCACTGACCATATTTGCTCATTAAACACACTCTGGACTTGTGCTGCCAGGTTGGTGGGCACCAGCCACGTGTGGCTGTTGAGTGCTGGATGGGAGCCTAGTGCAGCGAGGAGGTTGAGGCGTACTGTGTCTGTGACCTAGACCCCAGATTTTGAAGACTTGGTCTGATGAAAGGAATGTAAAACATCCCATTAATGTTTGATTACTTGTTAAAATAATAACGTATGGCTGTGTTGGGCTAAACAGAATGCATAATTAGAAGTAATTTTAGTTTTCTTTAGTTGCTTCATGTAGCCAATAGGAAGTTTTGATTTTTTTGGTAAGCCACATGGTGTTCCAGTGGGCCGGTGTCCAGGATAGCGTCCTGGAAAGTGCATCGCATGCCTCAGAAAGTGTGCATTATCCTGCAGATCCATCTCACGCCTCACAGACGAGCTCCCTGTGCCCTTACTGGAATCCTGTGTGAGACCTTACTGGAAAATCCCCTTATATCTTGAGCCTTCCTTCTTCTGTTCATAGCCCTTGTTGTTAATATAAAAACTGCTTATTACCACCTTTATAAAAGGTGAAGGAAATCATTGTACTATAGAGCTTTCTGTGAAGGTTTTCTCCTCCCTTTGGAGGGTTCCATCCCCATTTTGCAGCTACCTTGATAACTTCGGTGATTTCTAGGCAGCCAAAGGTACGGCTCATTTTACCCACTTGTGCTGCCCTCTTGCCTTCGCCTTTCTCCATCCTTTCTCCACCCTTCTCCTTCAGCCGGTCTTACGCAGCCAGCGCTCGATGCCTTTCAGTCCTCTGATCTCTGCCTGATGTCTTCTAGCCCTTTCAAGCCAAGGCCTACCCAACCCTAAGCCTCATCGCTCTGTAAAACTGCTCCAGGGAAAGAAAGCCCAGAACACAGCTTTTAGACCAACACCTGTTCTTCCCATTAAAGTTTTTACCCTTTAGTCTTGCTGGGACATTTGTTCACCTTCTCAAGGAAATGAAGGTGTATGCCCAGCAGACAAGATCTGTATTGTGTTTTTAGGCTTCATTATTGAAGGGAGAAGCTCCAGTGACTCACTTAAAAGTAGAAAAGAAGCCCAAATTCAAGAAACCTAAGCAGAAACTGAGGTGCCTAGTATTCAGCTCTCTCAGTGGCTGATACGTTGACTTCCACTGTTTTCTCCTTGGAACACAGAACTGTTGATTAAATGGAAGCAGCGCAGTCAAATATTTTCAAGAGAATTGAGTTCACTCTAAAAAGTATTTTTCCTGCTTTCCCCCTGAGATTCCTTAGTCACTGGTCCTAAAAAAAGAAAGAATAACTTTGAAATTACTTTGGAACAAATTCTACCAGCTAATTTCCAGGCCCTTTATGCTTCACTGATGTCCCCCTATCTCTTAGAGTTGTAATCTGTTCTCTTTAATAGATAAAGGGATTCATTGAGTTAACTGGGCTTTTTTTCCTCTGACCAAAGACTTATGTAGCAAAGGCACATTAACCACTATCTTTGAGTTTAGATACTGGGAAAAAATTGCATGTGATCCATTTAACTTTTAAAGGTAAAAGTCATAGAATTAATACACTTGCACAGAAAGATTTACTCGGTTGAGTAATATGAAATCTTCAAAGTTGTACTGTTTGGGAATTTTAAAATCCAAAAACAATATCTGAAGAATTTAAAATTCTCCAAATAGTGATTAAAATGAGCCTCGTTTAGGCTTGTTGAGCATATGGTTATTATAAACTTCACCTCTGGTAGATAGCAATTGAATTCTAGGAATGTGATATTAGGCGAATTCAGTTTTAAGGACTGAGATAAAGTATGTAAAAACCATTGGCACAGGCTTAGTATGTCCCAGGAAAAACTTCAACAACTTTTCATATCATCTGCATATTTGTGAGATATTGTTTCCTGTAGTTTGCACATGCAGCTTACAACTAGAAGAAATCATATTTGGTAACCATGTAAATTTCAAGAATCTTCTTTTTGCCTTAGTGAGATGAATATATGTGGTTATGTGCCTGTCCTATACTTTGTAATCTCCATTGACTGCCTTGTTAAGGGGTCTACAGCATATAGGCAAAACAGTTTATCTCAGTACAAAAAGTACACTGTGTATTTACTTGGCTAAGGTGAAAAGAGACTTTTGGAAGTGTTAGATTGCATTTGTGGTTAAGGTTTCTATTCACACATATAAGTGTCCTCACTTTAATTCAATATTACAGGAATAGTATAGAGTGAAAGGATTTTAATAAGTGCCTCTGATTTTTGAGCACTGCAGCTGAAACTTAGCTTTTTTGTAGCATTAAAATAAAAGAAATACTTATTGGCACCACCTATTGGCTAGAAATATAGCATATTACTGTTTTGCTTACTTTTGGAATTTCCTAATTATTAAACCATGTTCTCTTTCTAATTCTTTTAAAATTTTTATATTAAACTCATTTTACATACATAATAGTTGTAATAATAGTGCAAAAGATTACTATTTCCAAAAGATTCAAATTTTACATTTGCTTTTTTGTGCCCTCCTCAAGATAGACACATTTAATTCAGTATTGCTAAATTGGTATAATCAGTACTTCTGATTTTTGTACATATATGTATGAGAATATACATTTATATATACATATACATGCATACATACACACATACATAGATGTGCATATATATTCATCACATGCAGACATACTGCATTTCATTTCCAGATTGCAGACCTGATGCCTCTCTACATTTATTTCAGAATGTGGCAACATAACCACAATGTAATTATCAAAATCAAGAAGTTAGCACTGACATAATACTACTATCTAATCTATAGACCTTATTAAAATTTTCTCGCTGTCTTCTATAATAAAAGAAAAGCCAGGTTATATTATTTGTGGTTGCCTTATCTTTTTAATTTCCTTTTTTTCCTAAACTATTCTATTCTGATGACAGTGAAGAGAAAATGTAGTTCAAAGTATAATACTAAATTATAGTCAAGATATTTTTAAAGGTACATGCAGTATTAAGAACAAAAAACGTAGCCCCAAATTATATGGTAAGGAAAGTAGTGATTTGCACTTATTTTCTAAATTAATTATCTTTGTCTAACTTTGATGTAATCATTAGGAATACTGTTTGGAAAATTTGCTAGGTATAAAAACATGCAAATATTTCAATGAATTAAAGATTAGCAAATTACAGTTGTATGTGCTATTGTAGTGGTGGAAATTATCTTTACCCCCTCATTCTTTCATGACTGATCCTGTTATTAAAAAAGACAGGTTTTTTAGATCAAATTTTCATCAATATTGTGATTTTGTTTTATACTTTTAGTACACTTATAAAATTTATGAAGCAGAGAGTAGTTGTTCAATTAAATATTGGTAGGACTGTCCTTAAATGCCATG